CTTGGATCCTCCCTCTCTGCAGCTAGATTTCCCACACCTCAAGGGAAAGCCTGGCACATAATCGAGGCGATTCTAAAAGCATCTTCCACCAGCAATCTCGTTCCAGCCCTTTGCTTCTGTGTTTTTTTCTTCTTCTTCTGAATGGCACAGAACCTCCTTTTTTTCCCACAGGAACTGCTGGATATTCCTTGCCACTTTATTTCTATTTTCCTTGCCTTCCCTTTTTTCTCTGATCTTGCATTTTTTTATTATTATCGGCTCCTTACAGCAAAAAAAAAAAAAAAAACCAACCCTGCCTTTTTGTACTGCGTTGCCCGTTTAAGCCAATCCCTGTTGTTATCTTTTGTTTAATGTCTCTAAAGGCTTGGTACAGCCTTCCCCATCCGATGTGCTATGTTAGCAAAGGCAGATGGGAACTGTAGTCCGATGCATTTGAAAAAATGCATTGGACTACAGTTTTTTCAAATGCATCGGAACTGTAGTCCGATGCATTTGGGAAAATGCATTTGGAGTAGGTTATGAGAAGAATAAAGGACCTATCTATCCCATGCATTGTTTTATTAATTTCTGGGAATCCTAGATTCCCTCTGGCTACATTTTTCAGGATACAGTCAACAGATTTCTAATGATTTTTTGGGGGGAGGGTTAGTCAATTTCGGAGAGAGCAAAAGCAATAAAAAGTCTTCTAGGACTTGAAAAAAAATAGGGGGGGGAGGGTGTTTTGCCGCAAAGCTGTCTCTAAAACCCAGAGGTTGGCTTTCTGAAAAACTATGCTCAACTCTGGTGCAGTGTTTTCAAAAGCAGCCCCTCTGGCAGGATATCACTATGGATAGCTGCACATCTGGAATCTCCCTAAAAAGGGGGGGGGGACTTCTTCCCAAGAGATTACATTTTCAAATGAGTTCCTGGTTTTTCTCCTGCAATTTTGACTTCCAGGGCCAGACACGAGAAGCACGTCTTTCCAAGGCTGTAACTCCCAAGAGAAAAAAACAAGCCATTTCCCCACCACCAGCACTTTCTGCAAGGAGAAAGGGGGCTTGCGCTGGGTGGGCAGGCCTTTGCAAGCAGGATGCACGGCGAAGGCAGAATAACAAAATAATAAAAGAGTTGGAAGGGTCGCTGGAGATCTAGTCCAGCTGCCTGCTCAAGCAGGAGACCCTATTAAATTCATTTTAGACCAATGGATGTCCCATCCCTTCTTCAAAGCCTCCGCTGATGAAGCACCCACAACTTCTGGAGGCAGGTTGTTCCGCTGGCTAATTGTTCTAAACTGTCAGGAAATTTCTCCTTGGTCGTCCCAGGTTGATGCTTTGGAGAATAGGTCGAACCCCCTCCCCTCTTTTTTTGCGACAGCCCCTTAGATACTGGAGCACTGCTATCATGTCCCCCCACCCCTAGTTCTTATTTTCATTTTACCCAGTTTCTACCACCGCTCTTTGTGTGTTTTAGCGTCCGGCCCCCTAATCATCTTTGTTGCTCTTCTCTGCCCTCTTTCCGGAGTCTCAACCTCTTTGAAATATTGTGGTGACCCAAGACAGTATGGCGTAGTGGTTAGAGTGCCAGGCCTTGCTTGGATCAGAGCGATGTTCACCATGCAGCCTGCAGTTTGGAATGTGGCTGCTCAGGGCGTATTCCATCTCGGAGGCCTGCAGCTGCTTTATCTTCCAAATTTTTGCTTTCGCCAGCAATCTGCCCTCTGGACAAATGGCTTGGCTCCAGATTTTTTTCCCCCTCCCATCCTCAAGTTTAGGGATAGCTGATGAACCAAAGTGGAGGTGGGGGGGGTCTCCTTGGAAACCCCATCACCTCGTCTCTGTGGCTATTCTCCAGCCAGCAGAATGAATAATCCTGAGGTTGTAAATCCCAGGATGGGAACACGGATCGACTTTCCCATGGAACGAGTGGGCGCTATAGAACCTCGGCATTTTTCATCCTGGAAGCATCACGTGTTCTGCCTTCGACAGCCTGGACAAGCTCGCTAAATTAAATGCCTCCTGACACCACGAGATCCCACCGAATGCAGAAAGTGTTTGCTTTAGGGGGTGGAAATAGATCTTTTTTTTATTGTATTTTTTTATTTTGGAGGAACCGTTCAAGGCTCTCTCCAGCCAGCCAGCTTGCCGTTTGGTTGCCCGGGAGCCTGCAGCTTCGGATACTATGGAGAAGAGTTGCCAGTGTAGGCTAGAAGTGAGACCCAAGATGGAAAGAACTGTGCTGGGAAGGGGTGGGGGTGGGGCAGTGGTGGGATTCAAATATGTGAACAACCAGATCATGTGAAGTGTTCCTACCACTTTACAAGGCCTTGGTAAGGCCACACTTGGAATACGGCATCCAGTTTATTATAATAATAAAGTTGGAAGGGACCTCGGAGGTCATCTAGTCCAGCCCCCTGCTCAGGCAGGAAACCCTACACCATTTCGGACAAATGGCTGTCCAATCTCTTCTTAAAAACCTCCAATGTTGGAGCACCCACAATTTCTGGAGGCAAGCCATTCCACTGATTAATTGTTCTAACTGTCAGGAAGTTTCTCCTTTGTTCTAGGTTGCTTCTCTCCTTGATTAGTTTCCCTCCGTTGCTTCTTGTCCTGCCTTCAGGAGCTTTGGAGAATAGCTTGACTCCCTCTTCTTTGGGGCAGCCCCTGAGATACTGGAACGCTGCTGTCATGTCCCCCCTCATCCTTCTCTTCATTAAACTAGACATACCCAATTCCAGCAACCGTTCCTTATGTGTTTTAGCCTCCAGTCCCCTGATCATCTTTGTTGCTCTTCTCTGCAGTCTTTCTAGAGTCTCAACATCTGTTTTTACATCGTGGTGGCCAAAGCTGGATGCAGCATTCCAAGTGTGGCCTTCCCCAGGGCACTTACCTCCCTTGTGGCAGTCCCTCAAATACTGGAACACTGCTATCATGTCCCCCCTAGTCCTTCTTTTCTCCAGACTAGCCAATACCCAAAATATGCAAAAGAAGATTGGACTTGTTGCCAGTTCTTGGCTGCTCCCAATACTTTGATCTCTGGAGGCTGGAGCTAAACTGAGAAGCCGGCCGAAGCCGCAATGCTGAAGACCAAAAGAGGAAAATCCCACTGTGGACACGCTGCAAATAAATTTCTCTCGTTCCCTCTGCCTTGATATGTCCATTTGGAAAAAACCCGTCCTCCCGGAACACTTTTTGGCTTCTTAGAAACAGCGAGATATCAACTTGCAGATGTGAAGCCTTTTTTTTTTTTAAAATCCTGGGAGTTTTGCCAAGAAAAATCTGAAAGGCTCTTAATAAAGAAGCAATGTTGGATGATGGGTGAGAAAGGGTTATATTTATACACAACACGTCGCTCTTGGCATGTCTCTTTTTCTGTCTTCGTTTTCTTTCGATTGACTGAGGTTCCCCCCCCCCCAGAAAAAAAGAGACTTTTAATGAAGTGATTCAGGATGCAAAGACCTTTTGACGGATTGAGTTGGTTCCCCGTAGGAGATTATAAATATAAAACCTACATGGAGTCTATTGAAGGATTTCTCTCGGAAGCGAAGGCGTGCCTACGAAAGAGGAAGACTTGATTTGGCGTCTCACCTTAAAAACCAGACTGGAATTAACAAATAGGATGGAACAAAATCCTCAGAGTTACGTCTGTGCTACACAAGACAAGAAATCTTGGCGTTTTGGGGAAACGGGGCCAAACAGGACCCACTCAAAGATCCTTTGCCAAACTATAATAATAATAATAATAATAATAATAATAATAATAATAATAATAATAATAATAACAACAACAACAACAACAATGATAAAGGTGGAAGGGACCTTGGAGGTCATCTAGTTCAAACAGGAGACCCTATACCATTCTGGACAAATGGATCTCCAGTCTCTTAAAAGCCTCCAGTGATGGAGCGCCCACAATTTCTGGTGGCAAGCTGTTCCACTGGTTAATTGTCTTCACTGTTAGGAAGTTTCTCCTTAATTCCAAGTTGCTTCTCTCCTTGATTAGGTTCCATGTTTCTTGTCTTGCTTTCAGGTACTTTGGAGAATAGATTGACACCAGCCCCTCAAATACTGGAACACTGCTATCATGTGTTTCTCCCCCCCCCCCCCAGTCCTTCTTTTCATTAGACTACACATACCCAATTCCTGCAACCATTTTTTTTTTATATTTTATCTCCAGGCCCCTAATCATCTTTGTTGCTCTTCTCTGCACCCATCATCCCCAGCTGTGTTAGCCGGGACTCGCAGGCACTGTAGCCCAGCATCAAATCAGAAGGAGATACAGCCAGACACACACGGATGCTATGCCGTGTTAGGTTGAGCGTTGAAATCCCGTATATTAACAGGAGTAAAAGGGAGAGATTGCAATCTGAAATACTTCCCGTGGTTCAGTTAAATTTGAAAAGCCGTTTTCGTAATTACAAAATCCATGCCTGGTTAAGATGTTGGCTTTGTATGGATTTTTTTTCCCCTTTCTCCTCAAGCTTAGAGGGTTTGTTTTGGTTTTGAAGCACGAGTAGTTCCATAAAGCTAGCTGGAGATACGGGTTGATTTATTGTTTTTTCTGATCAAGGAGAATATGTGTAGCTCTCGGTTGAAATGGGGGGTCCTTGGTGCTCTCCGAGCTTCGCTGTTTTCGTGCAGATGTTTCATTACCCAGATAGGTAACATCATCCGTGCTAGAAGGGAGTGGGGTTTCCAGAATGGAGGAGGATTATGGGTCCTCGGTGCTCTCCGAGCTTCGCTGTTTTTGTGCAGACGTTTCATTACCCAGCTAGGTAACACCATCGGTGCTAGAAGGGAGTGGGTTTGCACTGATGATGTTCCCTAGTTTGGGTAATGAACCATCTGCAAGAAAACCACCAAGCTCAGAGAACACCCAGGACCCTTCAGATTTTTTTCTGCCTGGTGTCAGAAAGAGCGATCCATTTTTTAAGCGGTTCTTTGTGTTGTTAGCGGATCAACAGTCCCGTCCGTTGTCTCCAGTTCTGTTCAGACCTCTTGATTCCCCCTCTCTTCTCTCTCTAGGAATGGACACGGAGGATGAAGCTTTATTGCAAGATGTCAGTGCCAATGAAGACGAGGAGGGGGCTTGTGGCCCTGGCGTGAAAACCGGGGGGCCCCGCCTCTGCGGAAAATGCCAGTGGAACCCCAGGCCCCGGGCCACCTTCGTGACGCTCCCGTCCTCGGATTTTTGGACCCTGGTAGGCTGGGTCTTCACCAACCCTTATTCCGCCAGCCTCATCCTCTTCTTGGGATGCGCCATTCCTGCCGGCTTGGCCCTCACCATGTTCCTCCACTACCCTGCTCTGGACATTGACATCTCGTACAACGCCTTTGAGATCCGCAACCACGAGTCCTCGCAGCGCTTCGACGCCCTCACCCTGGCCCTTAAGTCCCAGTTCGGCCTGTGGGGACGCAGCCGCCGAGACCTGGCCGACTTCAGCTCGGAGACCTTGCGCAGGCTGATTTTTGAGAAGCTGCAGCACCTCCAGCACAACGCCACGCGGTTGGGCGGGCCAAATCTCTCCCCGAGGCAGCGCAGGGAGACAAGCCAGGGAGATCAGGCTGGTCCAGCCAATCACACCTCCCACCGGGCCCGAAGCCCCCTCCCTCGGTGGGAGTATCCGAGTGCCGCCATCAGTGCCAACACCCAGACTCACGCCCACTGGCGCATTGAACTCATCTTCCTGGCTCGGGGAGACGCCGAGAAGAATATCTTCACCTCCGAGCGGCTGCTGACGATCCACGAGGTGGAGCGTAAAATTATGGACCATCCTCACTTCCAGGAGTTTTGCTGGAAGCCTCACGAGGTCCTCAAAGACCTCCCGTTGGGCGCTTACTCCTACTGCTCCCCTCCCAGCTCCCTCATGACTTATTTCTTCCCCACAGAGAGGGGGGGCAAGATATACTACGACGGCCTCGGACAAGAACTCGCTGACATCCAAGGTGAGCCTTGAGGGAGGGGTGGGTGGGGTGGGTGGGGATCGGTCCGAGTTAGGACAAGGAGTAACAATAGCACTGAGAGTTACATACCAGTTCATTGTGCTTCACAGCCCTCTCTAAGCAGTTTACAGAGTCAGCCTGTTGCCCCCCAACAATCTGGGTCCTCGTTTTACCGACCTCGGAAGGACGAAAGGCCGAATCAACCTTGAGCCGGTCAGGATCGAACTGCCAAACTGCAGGCAGAATTAGCCTGCAGTACTGCATTCTAACCACTGCGCCGCCATAGCAATAGCAATAGTACTTAGAATTGTACACAATGCTTGACAGCCCTCTCTAAGCAGTTGACAGAGTCGGCCGATTGCCCCCCCAACAATCTGGGTCCTCATTTTACCGACCTCGGAAGGATGGAAGGCTGAGTCGACCCTGAGCCGGTCAGGATCGAACTCCTGGCAGCGAGCAGAGTTAACCCGCAATGCTGCATTCTAAGCACTGGGCCACCAGGGCTCATATTTTGTAATGGAACTAGAATATGTAAATCAATAAAAAAAAATAGCACTAGCACCAGCACTTAGACTTATATACCACTTCACGGTGCTTTACAGCCCTCTCAAAGCAGATTACAGAGTCGGCCTGTTGCCCCCAACCATCTGGGTCCTCAGTTTACCTATCCCGGAAGGATGGAAGGCTGAGTCCACCTTGAGCCGGTTGAGATTTGAACCGCTGACCTGCTGAACACAGTCAGCTAAAGTGGCCTGCAGGACTGCACCCTAACTGCTGCGCCACCTCGGCTCTAAATTGGGCCGCCCTGCGTCTGAAATGGAATTCGGCTTTTCTGCCTGAGCAGGGGGTTGGACTAGAAGACCTCCAAGGTCCCTTCTGTTATTCTGTTAACGCTGCTGTTTCCCGCAGGGTCTCTCGAGCTGGCTATGACCCACCCGGAGTTTTACTGGTACGTGGACGAGGGTCTCTCGGCCGAGAACAAGAAGAGCTCTCTCTTGCGCAGTGAAGTCCTCTTTGGCGCTCCCTTGCCCAGCTACTATTCCATGGATGACCGCTGGGAAGAACAATGCCGGAAGTTTCAAAACTTCGTGGTCACCTACGTGGCCTTGCTGGCCAAAGAGTCTACCAGGTGAGCATGGGGTCCCTGCCCTGCCCCATCCCCGCCGGAATATTCTTCCATTGTGCAGAGCTGGGTGAACATGGGCTGCTCTTCTCCTGTAGAAAGTTAGCTTCTCAGGGCAACGTCAAGGTGGACTTCTGGCTACGGGGAGCTGAGGTCGTTGGCTTTATTCAGGTCAGAATGAAGATGGGAGTCAACTTAGTAGTCGCGACGGCTGGGCCAGGAAGCCTTGCCGAGCAAGCTTTCTGCATGCAAGGCCTTCCTTCTGTAGCCGCAACCCCAAAGGATCCTGCTTGAGGGCGCTCTGTTCCACTGAGCTGGAAAGTAAAACCGAGGCTCACGCTTTACTGCAGGGATGGATCACACAAGGTTCGGCTCGGATGAGTTCTCTGGGGTTCAGGGCCAGCTGTGAACCCAGCCAGGGTTTGGTCGTGTCACGTGAATGCAAGGATTAAACCAGCATTCAGAGTTAAGCGTCTGATGCAGCCGTCCCTAATCTTTCCAGCTTGGTGTATGAGTGACAGGTGCACGCCTAACAGCTCCCTTCGTGCAAGGGGCAGGCGCGCACACCCTCCACTTGTACAAATGGAGCTTCGCACGAGCTTTGCCTATTTCTCCCACAGGGCCCGGTTCCAAACAGGCCGTGTCCCGATAGTGGGCTACAGCCTGGGGGTTCCTCTGGTCTGATGCATTTCAGATTTTTTTCTTTCTCTCTCTCTCTCTCTCCCTCTCTCTCTCTCTCTCTCTCTCTTTGAGACTCTTGGCTCAAATGAGTCGTGGAAGGGTGGGAGAGAAAGAGAGAGAGAGAGAGAGAGAGAAATACAGAGAAATGAAAGAGAGAAATACAGAGAAATGAAAGAAATGAGAGAAAGAAATGAAAGAGAAATGAAAGAAAGAAATGAAATGAAAGAGAGAAATGAAAGAATGAAAGAGAGAAATGAAAGCGAGAAAGAAATGAAAGAGACAGAGAAAAATGAAAGAGACAAATGAAAGAAAGAAATGAAAGAAATGAGAGAAAAATGAAAGAGAAATGAAAGAAATAATGAAAAAGAAATAAAAAAGAAAGAGAAATGAAAGAGAGAGACAGAGAAATGAAAGAGAAAGAGAAATGAAAGCGAGACAGAGAGAAATGAAAGAGAGAGCGAGAGAGAGAGAGAGAGAGAGAGAGAGAGAGAGAAATGAAAGAGAGAGAGAGAGAGACCTCCAGGAGTCAGAGCAAGAAGACCTCCCCCCCAGCTCATCTCCCCTGCTGCGAGGGCTTAATTGCTTCCCTCATTTAATTAACTTTCTCAGACCCCCCTCTCTTCCCGCTCCTAAGGAGCCCGGCTAGTTCCTGCAGCTTTGGACACGGGCTGCTGCGCTTCCTAAAGATACCAAATGATTATCCTTCTCTACTTTTCTTCTTTCAAATAATCAGAGTTTAGGGTTCCCTGGAGAACGGCAGCCGAGGGCTGGAGCACGGGATGGAGGGGGGAACGTCGTCGTGCTCCTTGCACTGTGTGCGGTGCCATATTTTCCCTTTTGGGGGGACGACGGGGTGGCTTGGGAGCCGTGATCTATGGCTTAGCCCACCGTTCTTTATTTAGCCTTCCGTGCTTTCAAACCCCCGGGCTTAATTTATTACACAAATCACAGCTTCCCCGGCATAATTCGGAGCCCTCCAGATTGTAAGACACCCCCCCTCTACCACCCCCATCACGTTCGGCCCAGCCAGCTGGTTGAGTTATTTTTAGGGGGAGTTGCAAATCCAGAATTTGGCTACTGAACAGTCAGTTATGCAACCTAGCACAGGAATGACAGGTGGTCCTCGACTTACGCCCAAAACTTATGTCGCTAAGTGAGAAATTTGTCCCGTTTTGCGACTTTCCTTGCCACATTTCCTTAAGCAAAGCACTGCCGTTGTCAAACGAGTAACGCAGTCGTTAAGTGGATCCGGCTTCCCCCGTCGACTTGGCTTGTCAGAAAGTTCCCCAAAGGCGATCGCGTGACCGTCGTAAATGTAAACTGATCGTCAAGCATCCGAATGTAAATCACAGGGCTGTTGCAACGCTCATAAGTGGGGAAAATGGTGATAAGTCACTTTTTTCGGAGCCGTTTAACTTTGAACGGACACTAAACGAACTTTTGGAAGAGCCGTGGGGGCACGGTGGTTAGAATGCAGCATTGCAGGCTAACTCTGCCCACTGCCGGCAGTTTGATCCTGACCGGCTTAAGGTTGACTCAGCCTTCCATCCTTCCGAGGTGGGTAAAATGGGGACCCAGATTGTGGGGGGGCAAGAGGCTGACTCTGTAACCCGCTTAGAGAGGGCTGTAAAAGAACAATGAAGCGGTATATAAGTCTAAGTGCTATTGGGTTGGGAAGGAAGAAAGGAAGGAAGGAAGGAAGGAAGGAAGGAAGGAAGGAAGGAAGGAAGGAAGGAAGGAAGGAAGACAAGAAGGAAGAGAAACGAGGAGAAGGAAGGAAGGCAGCCTGGTGGCGCTGTGGTTAGAATACAGAATTGCAGGCTAAACTCTGCCACTGCCAGCAGTTCGATCTTGACTGGCTCAAGGTTGACTCAGCCTTCCATCCTTCCGAGGCTGGTAAAATGAGGACCCAGATTGTTGGGGGGCAATCGGCTGACTCTGTCAACTGCTTAGAGAGGGCTGTGAAGCATGGTGAAGCGGTATATAAGTCTAAGTGCTAACTGCTATTGCTAGTTTTCCTTCCTTCCTTCCTTCCTTCCTTCCTTCCTTCCTTCCTTCCTTCCTTCCTTCCTTCCTTCCTTCCTTCCTTTCATCCATTCATCCATTCATCCATGGTATGCAATGATTAGAATGCAGCATTGCAGGCTAAACTCTGCCCATTGCTAGGAGTTCGATCCTTATTGGCTCAAGATCAACTCAGCCTTCCATCCTTCCGAGGTCGGTAAAATGAGGACCCAGATTGTTGGGGGGGGGGCATAAGCCGACTATGTAAACCACTTATAGAGGGTTGCAAAGCCCTGTGACGCGGTATATAAGTGGCGGTTGCTATTGTAAGTGGAAGACCACCAGTATTTCAGCTTAACCAGGTTACGTGTGTTGGCTCAACCTCCTCCGCTTTCTCTGCAGCAAGGTCCAGGTGCTCTACGGCGGGACGGACCTGTTTGATTACGAAGTGAGGAAGATTTTCAAGAACGACATGCTGCTCGCCTTCATCAGCAGCTCGTGCATTGCGGTACTGGTCTACCTCCTGGCGTCCTGTTCAGGTAAGGAGAATGGCCCCTCCTTTGCTCCTAGGACTCCCTCCCACCTGAGGCCGGAGGGGTCTCCCCACCCTTTGAACCCTCCCCACCCTTTGAACCCCCAGCATTGGGGGGAATCCCAGCTTGGATTGGGGCCTGGAAAAAAGATCGTGTTCTTTTTATCTCCCCCCCCCCTCTTTGTTGGATCGCTGTCACTCAATCAAACGATGATAAGAGACAGGAAGCTGTGTCAATTCCGTAAATGCAGGCAGTTCTCCACTTATAAAATTTCATTTTAGTGACCGGTCAAAGTTATAACGGCAATGGAAAAAAAGCGACTTATCGCCATTTTTTCCACTTACTGACCCTCGCAGTATCCCCATAGTCACGTGATCAGCTCGGCAACTGACTCGTATTTACGACGGTCGCAGAGTCCTGGGGGTCACGTGATGCCCTCTTGGGACCTTCCAGCGAGCAAAGTTAATGAGAAGCCAAATTTGCCTCCCCTCCCTGTTACTAACTTAAAAACTGTCGTTGATTTGTAGCAAGGACGGTCGTAAAAACGGGGCCAAATTCACCTCACCGCTGTCTCGTTTAGCAACGGGAATCTTGGGTCTCCGTTGCGGTCGTAAGGCCGAGGATGGCCTGTGGATCCACCAGCCAGGGGATGGAAAGGCTGAACGCCAACAGGAGAAATAAGACTTCCTCTTTTCTTGTCCTCTAGTCTTCCTGTCCTTTTTCGGCATCGCCAGCATCGGCATCAGCTGCCTGGTGGCCCTCTTCCTTTACCACATTGTCTTCGGAATCCAGTACCTGGGCATCCTGAACGGAGTGGCGGCCTTCGTTATCGTGGGCATCGGTAAGAGGGCTGAACCGGGTCCGCAGCCGTGCTCCCTCCCCCAGACGCCCCCTCACCCTGTCCCTCTTCTCTTGTGCCCTCCGCCAGGGGTGGACGACGTCTTTGTATTCGTCAACACCTATCGGCAGGCCACGCACCTGAAGGACCTCAACCTCAGGATGATCCACACCGTCCAGACGGCCGGCAAAGCCACCTTCTTCACCTCCTTGACCACGGCGGCTGCGTACGCCGCCAACATATTTTCCCAGGTAGGCCACGCTTTCCCACCTGTATCGGTCCGAGTTACACCCCTCATATGTCGGTGGAGACTGGATTGAGGAAGCTTGTGCAATGGAGTCAAAAGGCTGGTGGATGTTATGGTTCCGACTAATGAAACACTTCAAAGAACTTCCAGGCATTTTATTTTCCTAAAAGTCTTTTATTGTTGCAAAATGTCGGGCACAGGCATAACGGAGGGATGCTAAGATCTAAGTTCTCTTCCTCTGAGCAGTTAAATTATCAGAATGTTCCCTCCCTAAATTAGCCCGCCATATATCACATGATCCAATTATTGTGAAGGTCAAAGGTTTTCTTCCTCTATCTTTCCTGGGCTTTACCCCCACCCCCCTTCTGCTCTGTATTAACCCCATAAATACCAGACAGTTCTGCATATTGTCAAAAGCAAGAATATACAATATTTGCAGCGTTGACAGTGGAGATCTAAAGCAGGGTTCCCCACCTGTGGGCCACAGCCCACTAACGGGCCGTGGCGTGAGTGGCTGGCCGGTGTGCCCGCCTATGTGCAATCCCTCATTCTCCCTCGCACTAGTATCACCGTGAACGTTGCACAGGTGCTAGCAGCCTCATTTGCAGCGCCCCGTTCGCATGTGTGCATGCATGGCTAAAGGCCCCAGCCTCTCCCTTTCCCACCAGGCCACTAACCCAGAAAGGTTGGGAAACTGTTCTAAAGCTTCTTTACAGCAGTTAGAAGTACAATTCTACATTTACCTGTTTCTCTAAAGCAACGTTCCCCAACTTGGTGACTTTAACATGGGTGGACTTCAACTCCCAGAATTCCTCAGCCAGCCAAGCTTTCCCACCTGTACCAGTCAATGGGTCAAGGCCATAAGCCAGCTTTCCACTGTGGCTGCCTGCTCAATTATAAAGGCTCCCAAGCGTCTTTACAGCAGTTAGAAGTACGATTCTAGAATTATCTCTTTCTCTAAAGCCGGGGTCTTCAAACGTGGCCCTTTGACGACTTGTGGACTTCAACTCCCAGAATTCCTCACTGGCTGAGGAATTCTGGGAGTTGAAGTCCACAAGTCATCAGAGGGCCACATTTGAAGACCCTTGGTCTAAACCAGTGGTTCTCAACCTTTTTAATGCCGCAACCCCCAACCAGTCGTAAGTCGAGGACTACTCAACCAGTCGTAAGTCGAGGACTACTCGATTGGTGCAGCACCGTTTGCAGAAGGGGACTTTTGGCGGGCTCAGCAGGGCAGAGACAGCCTGGACAATTCCTATTGGCTTTTGAAAGCCAATAGAATTAGACTCTATTCAAGAGAGTCGATTCTATTGGCTTTCCAAAGCCAATAGAATAAAAGGGAGTAGCACAGCTAAGGAAAAGGGGGGGAAAAATGGCAGACTGCGTTGTTTGGCGACCCCCGTGAAATGGTTGTTCGACCCCAAATGGGGTCCCGACCCACAGGTTGAGAACCACTGGTCTAAAGCAATGTTTCCCAACCTTGGCGACTTTAAGATGGGTGGACTTCAACTCCCAGAATTCCCCAACTAGCCTGGGAGTTGAACTCCACCCATCTGAAAGTCATCCAGGTTGGGAAAACGCTCTTTTAAAGTGACATCATGACTCTCTTCCTTCTGTAAATTGTCAAACCATCCGTCTTTTTTTCTTTTTTACACCACAACATCCAGAAAGGGTTCCATTCTGACTTTTTTCAAAAAAAAAAAAAAATCCAAGAAGTGCTTTTTTAAAAAAAAAAATAAAAAATTCTTGGACCTCTAGGAGGGGTTACCTGTCTCCTGTCTTCTCCCCTGCAGATCCCAGCTGTCCATGACTTTGGTCTCTTCATGTCCCTGATTGTCTCCTGTTGCTGGGTGGGGGTCCTCTTCACCATGCCAGCTGCTCTGGGGATTTGGTCTCTCTACTGGTCTTCCCTGGAAAACACCTGTCAGGCCAGGTAAAGTCAATTGAATCTATTTTTAATTTTTTTTAAAAAAAATCTGTTTTGTGAAGCAGGGCTGCAGCTGTGCCTCTCTAGCAAAAGAAAAAAGATTTACAGTCTTCTAGATCAGAGGTCCACAACCTTTTGGGCACCAGGGGCCAGTTCCATGAAGAGAGGTTTTTCCACGGATCGGAGAGTGTGTGGTTTTGTGTGCTGCCTGCATCCCACGGAGGGGGCTTTGCTTGTTTGTGCGGACCGGTTGCTGGCATGCCGCGGCCCAGTACCGGTCCACGGACCAGGGCTTGGGGACCCCTGTTCTAGTTTATCAGGGTTCACCCAAAAGAGTTTACTTGGATGCTCTTCTCTTTTTACCTATTTTTCCTTCAAAATGAATGTAGGAGAAGCAGTCCAGGTTAAAACCATCCTGTGCTTCCCAAATCGTTCCTTACCCCAAACCATTTACTGCAGGGGTCTTCAAACTTGGCCCTTTGATGACTTGTGGACTTCAACTCCACGCGTGCCTGGCTGAGGAATTCTGGGAGTTGAAGTCCACAAGTCATCAAAGGGCCAAGTTTGAAGACCCCTGATTTACTGCATCAGAGTGTCCTTATGTCAATGTCTGTGGTGTGAAATTGGAAACCCGTTTGTGTGTCCTTACCCAAAAGAAAAAAAATATCTTTTTTTTTTAACCTAATTTGGAGTAACTTAGTCAAGTTTGTCAAGCACAGTGTTAAGCAATCTGGTTAATGAATCCAGCTACCTGGGGGAGGGGGCTCCAGACAATCCCCCCCTCTTCTCTTTCTACCTCCTGCCTAATGCATTGGCAATGGCATTTGCTCAGACCCCAGGTGCACCTGATCCTTGTCTGGTGTGTGGCTGTTTTGCAGCTGGGCCGGGCTGCCCGTCGCTCGGCCAACCAGGCTGGGCACAGCTGCCTCACCCAGATAGAAATTTATTTGGCACTGCTTCCTCTCTGGTCTGCAGATGCCGTAAAAAATGCACAAAGGAAAGTGCTTTGCAGAGCCCAGATGGCCTGTTCGTCTCCTTGGCAGTGGCTGGCAGGTCAGGCCTGGGCACTCTGCCTTACCTGGATGATGACATCCCTCTGCTGAGTGTGGAGGAGGAACCAGGTTAGTAACGAATGGTGGGTCGCAAACACCGCTGCCCACACACATCAACACACACCTGGCTCCCAAATCAGAGATCTATGTCTCCTTAGAGACCCTGGAGGTATTTCAGTTTAATCAATCAGAATAAAGCTGGGAGGGACCTTGGAGGTAATAGTAATAGTAGTAAAGTTGGAAGGGACCTTGGAGGTCATCTAGTCCAACCCCCTGCTCAGGCAGGAAACCCTACACCATTTCGGACAACTGGCTGTCCAGTCGCTTCTTAAAAACTTCCAGTGTTGGAGCATTTACTGCTTCTGGAGGCGGGCTGTTCCACTGATTAATTGTTAATTAATTGTCTTGTAGACCAACCCCTACAAGCAGAGACTCTATACCAGGGGTCTTCAAACTTGGCCCTTTTATGGCTTGTGGACTTCAACTCTCAGAAATCTTCAGCCAGGCATGCCTACCACAGAGGTGGTAGAAGTATTTTGCTCTTCCTGAGGTTCTCATTTGAGTCTTTATAAAGTAAGACTAGATCAGTGGTTCTCAACCTTTTTAATGCCGTGACCCCCAACCGGTCGTAAGTTGAGGACTATTCAACCGGTCGTAAGTCGAGGACTACTCAACTGGTGCAGCACCGTTTGCAGAATGGGACTTTTGGTGGGCTCAGCAGGGCAGAGACAGCCTGGACCATTCCTATTGGCTTTGGAAAGCCAATAGAACTAGACTCTATTCAAGAGAGTCTATTCTATCGGCTTTCAAAAGCCAATAGAATAAAAGGGAGGAGCACAGCTAAGGAAAGGGGGGGGGGAATGGCGGACTGCGTTGTTTGGCGACCCCCGTGAAATGGTCGTTCGACCCCAAATGGGGTCCCGACCCACAGATTGAGAACCAGTGGACTAGATGGACTTTTGGTCTTGATTGAAGTGGCGCAATTGGTCTGGATCAGGCTAAAGTTTCAAGATCTAGGAGAGCATCAAGATAGCTTTGAGACCAGATCAATTCTTCCAGGTTCACCCTTTCTGTGAAAAATGGAATTCAAGTCATTGAATTCCAGGGACGATGTGTCCTCTGGAATAAATGTTGGTAATTTTTTTTTTTTGAATTGGACCACTCTGCTTAGTTCAATATCTAGAGAGCTTTGGTCTGATCGGTGGCCCGGTGTTTGTATCATGTCCTTCAACTCAACCTTGCCCTCTCTTTTCTGGCCAGTTGCTCTAGAAATGGGGGATGTCCCCTTGGTATCTGTGTTGCCCGAAAATCACCAGCTCACCACCAACAATGACAGCCCAGGACACCTGATCACTCACCTGCAGGAGCTCCTGAAGTGCTGGGCCCTGTGGTCGGCAGTCAAAAGCAAATGGGTGATTGTGGGTAAGTCCCTTGCACATAGACCCTTCCTGGATTTAAAAACAAACTTATGGAGGCCCACCATAAGAGTAGGATGAGTGTACTCTCACACACAATCTCTGTCTGCCTCGTGTTTCTCATTCCAGGGCTGTTTGTCTTGGTTCTCATCCTTTCCATCTTCTTCGCCAGCCGCCTTCGCCCAGCTAGCCGTGCCCCTCTGCTCTTCAGGCCCGATACCAACATCCAGGTGTTGATGGATCTCAAGTACAACTTGAGTGCCGAGGGCATCTCTTGTGTCACCTGCTCAGGTGAGTTTGACGGAGCCCATATGTCACCAGTGACCTCCATTTTGTGTTCAGGTTGATCCCTGTTTCCTCAAGATATTTCAACCTGATTTCTGGGAACTAGGAAGGAAGGAAGGAAGGAAAGGAGGGAGGGAGGGAGGGAGGGAGGGAAGGAAGGAAGGAAGGAATCAATCAATCAATCAATCAATCAATCAATCAATCAATCAATCTTATCCAAGGGAAAATTTTAGCTCTAGGACAAAACCCTTCCTTTCCCCTTAGAAACAGGGGTGTCCAATCTTGGCAACGTTAAGACTTATGGACTTCAATTCCCAGAATTCCCCTGCCAGCAATGCTAGCTGGAGAATTCTGGGAGTTGAAGTCCATAAGTCTTAAAGTCGCCATGGTTAGACAGTCCTGCTTTAGAAGGTCCCCATTCAGTTCTCGGGATCTTCACCAATGTCGGTCAGGACCCTGGACAGCTCCAGCTCCCCTGATAGCTGGATTTGTCTAAAAAGATTCACCTTCTCAACCTGAGAGTCTAAACTCGTATTTCCTGCGCTTGCCAAGATCTGATGTTCGATCCCACTCATAACTAAATAAGGTTGGATCAATTACTGTTGGAAACCCAGGAGAACAGCCGCTGATGGTGTTAAGAATTTCCGGCCAGAAGAGGCAGGTGTGATTCAATAATCAGAGAGCCGTTTATGTTCCCAGATCTAATTAGTCTTTATCTGTATCAGAAGAACAAAAGACATTCATCTTACCAGGCAGGCAGGCAGGCAGGCAGGCTTTCTTCCATTTATCCCAATAACTCTACGCTCGAGACTTGGAAGAGAAGGACATTTCCCATCATCTGCTAGTCTAAACTAGCAATGTTATTTAGCCTTGGGTTCCATTCTCATTGGTTAGACTTGTCCTCTGGGAATTTCCACCCCTCAAATCACTCCTCCTTGCTGCTATCTGAGGCCCTTGCACAGTAACTCTGCCTCGGAGGCTCTCTGGACTGCAAACTCGGCTGTCCCTTGAATGTTATGCAGCAGGAGGCATCTGTGTGGAATGTGCCCCCTCCCTGGGCTGCCGCCCTTGACTGGAGATGCTCTTTCGTCCCTGACTAACCTTGTGCGACAGGCTTGTTTCAGGAAAAACCCCGTAATCTGCAGAATAACATCCGCACCTCCCTGGAGAAGAAGAAGAAGAGGGGGTCGGGGCCCCCAAGCAGCGGCCGAGGGAGCCCCCTAGACGACAGAGCTCTCCAGGGTGAGCTTCGTCCTTCTCTCGAGATCGTTTTACAGGCTTCTTGAGCTTCGTCCTTCTCTCGAGATCGTTTTACAGGCTTCTTCCCGTGACTAGTCCTCAAGAAATCTAATCTGAATCCTTGATTCGACCGGGGTGGGAAATTCAGCTAGAAAATCAGCAAACCACATTTGCGGGATGAAAGGAGTGAGTTGGGTTGATTCGATTCAGATCTGGAAACCGGCCATTTCCACGCAGGCACAGAGCCGGCGGTGTCTGAATTGGAGAGACGTTGGGTACTGGCACAGCCTGCCTTGGAACCGAGCCCTGAATTCCAGGGGCTGCCCGCTCCGATTCACTTTCCCTTTGGCCTGACCCGGGAAGGGTCTCCTGACGGCTGTCCTGTCTCCTCCAGATCCCCAGGGAACCGTCTACATCTTCAGATATAAGGGCAACAGCCGGCCGGTGATCTACAGGTTTTCTCTCAATGCCACCGTGCCGGCACCGTGGCAGACCGTGCCCGCAAAAGATGGAGAAGTGCCTTCCTTCCAGGTGAGCACCAATAGGCGAAGGGGGCAAAGAGGTGACTCCAATGCCAGGGTGGATCATAAACCAGCACAGAGGAGAGAGGGGAAACCGGGCAACTTAGCGCCCTTCAGTCATGCATCATCCAGCGTGTGCGTGGGGGGGACTGCCTTAGAACGCCATCTTTTGAGATGCTCAGACGACATAAGTCTCCCCTGGTACCCCACCCTTTGCGGCTTGGGGGGAAGGGGGGAACTGGGCCGCGCGAGCGGTGGGCAAGCGCGCGCATCGTGCCCGCCGTTCAACTCGTGTGAGTGGCGGGCTGGCGAACATAGGCATTTGTGTGCAGCTTGACTCGTGCAAGCTGAGCAGCCTGCCTCATGCACACCGGCCCACCACTTAGGGAAGTTGAGCGGCACGCACGTTCACACGCGCTGGCCCGCCATTACGTGGCCCGGTTGCGAAGAGGTCACCGCAGCCTAGGAGTTGGAGATCCCTGCTCTAGATTACTGCTGGACTGCAGGGCCTCTCATCCTTCTACGATGGCTGTGGGCAGTGGGACCTGTAGTCCAAAGTACTCTAAATGGCCTCTTTCCTAGCTGCGGCTCTCCCAGCTGCCTGTTAGGTGGCAGGCGCCCACTCCTTACTCCTTGCTCATCACCTGTGCCATTTGGCAGAGCCAAAGAGAGAGGGGGGGCATGCCATGCTTAAGTTGTCTTTAGCGCCCTATTTGCCCCCTCCCCCCCTCCTGCCAGCCTCTAGAGACCTACAGTTAAGTGTTGTGTTTTCATTAATCCATGCTTAGGTGTATAACGTTCCTTACGGTAACTTCACCAAGAGGCTGACCGCTTGTATGTCCACAGTAGGGCATGTCCAACCAGGGGCCAGCAAGAAGTGGATGATGACCAGCTTGTCATGCGACGCGAAGAGAGGGTGGAAATCCGACTTCAGCTTCTACGTGGCTGCCCAGGAGCAACAGCGCACACGGTAATGCCGAGCGGGTGGGCGGACAACACGAGTTCAGATGGATGGACGGCAGAAGGCGCTTGGCAGTGAATCACTGGACGGAGGCAAACTTGGGGGGGTGTCAGAATCCAATTATATTTCATCTTTAATTATCAAACATAGAAAACCCCAATTCTGCCTTCTCTGGATTCTGCCATAAGAGGGAGAGAAGGGGGAGAACAAAGGGGCTTTATGGCCCTCACTTCCTTCAGTATACTTCTAAGGAACTGAATGTGTTTATTGCAACCTCAAAGAGTTTGAATGTAGTTAGCACCAAAGAACCTTACCATAACAAAGGGGGCTATTTACCTTTCATGTAGTTTATCTGAAGTCTCCATCCAGACGGAAGAAAGGAATAAAGGGGTGGAATTGTGAGGCCTGAAACTATCACTGGAAGGGGGGGTGATTGGGTGGGACTACTGGGGAACCCCTTAAACCCTTGAATGGGAGAGCTTGGACCCCAAGTCCTGTCTAGCACACCTGCAACCACTTCTTCTTAATAAAGGATTCCTGTTGGAAGAATTATTCCAAGAGTTCTGTCTTCTTAAGATGCAAAGTGGGGTGGGTCCTTACAGGGGGGGGGCTGTTGTGGCCTCCAGGAGTGAAGCTTTCTCCTTCCTTTTCCTTCCTTCCAATTTTGGAGAGTGCTAGATTGGGGATAGCTTTGTGTGTGTGTCTGTGTGTGTCCTGAGCTGGCTGTCACACCAGTGGGTTTCTTCTCCCTTCTCCAGGAAGCTGTATTTCGCCCAGTCACATAAGCCTCCGTACCACGGCCGGGTCTGCCTGGCACCCCCGGGCTGCCTCCTCAGCTCCAGTCCGGATGGACCCAACAAAGGATACTTATTCGTGCCAAGCGAGAGAGGTGAGCCATCTGTGAAGTGTGTGTGTGTGTTTCTGTGTGTGTTCTCTTCATTCTTGCACACTAAACAGCTTGCTGCAATGCTGGGAGAGGAAGCAGAGGATGAGGCTCAAGGCCTTCCTTCCTTCCTTTTTTTAAAAATCACAATTCCGCTTTTCAAAAGATTTGCAGTATTAATTAAAATGACGACAAAGACATGGTAGCGGCGTTCCAATATTAGCCAAGATCGCAGTGACAGGATAGCAGTCTTCCAATATTTGAGGGGCTGCCCCAAAGAAGAGGCAGTCAAGCTGTTCTCCAAAGCCCCTGAAGGCAGGACAAGAAGCAACGGATGGAAACTAATCAAGGAGAGAAGCAACCTGGATCTAAGGAGGAATTTCCTGACAGTTAGAACAATTAACCAGTGGAACAACCTGCCTCCAGAAGCGGTGAACGCTCCAACACTGGAAGTGTTTTAAGAAGAGAACTGGATATTCATTTGTCTGAAATGGTATAGGCTTTCCTGCCTGAGCAGGGGGCTGGACTAGACCTTCAAAGTCCCTTCCAACATTATTATTATTATTATTATTATTATTATTATTGTTATGGATCATCGTACAGTCAGCCAGATGTTCAGACTGGATTTGGCATTTTGTCTACCTATCGAGTCCTTACCCAGGACCTGGGATAAGCAGATGTGGATGTTTGATGGTATGACAGATCTTGTCGCAGGATGGAAGCAGTTCCTAGTAAGGCCGTCTTTTGCAATTGACTAATGGCGAATTTGTCAATGCCAATGATGGTGTTCAAGTGGTGCTCCAGTTGTTTTGGGATTGCACCCAAGGCGCCTATTACTACTACTACTACTACTACTACTACTATTATTATTATTATTATCTGAAGACGTTATTTAGATAATAATTCCTAGGTTCTGGGCCAGAATGTAAATTTCCCAGCAACCCAAGTCAAAGATGGGATTCTTTAAATTGGTCCTCTGCCTTGTCATACCGTGTTTCTCTGAAAATATGGCCCCAGCTGGAAAATAATCCTCAGTATGATTTTTCAGGACGCTCGTAATATAAGCCCCTACCCCCAAAATAAGCCCCAGTTAAGATCATCAGCCATACGGATACATTTAGTATCATATTTCCCCCCAAATAAAGACCTAACTAGAAAATGTGTCTTTTGGAGCCAAAATTAATATAAGACCCGGTTTTATTTGGGGGGGGGAACGCGGTACACCATCACCCAAACAGCTACACCACTCCTTTGTCCTCTCTCCTCCTCCTCCAGCCTCTGTCAAATCCAAGTTCTCCATCACGTCAGGGTTGAACCCCTGCCGGAACGGCAACTGCGGGAAGCCGGCCGTGCGCCCGCTGGTGGACACGGGCGCCATGGTGTTTGTGGTGTTTGGGATCCTTGGGGTCAACCGTACGCGGCACACCGACAACCACGTCATTGGAGACATGGTGCGTGTCCCTTCCTGGGGTCTGGGGGGGTGTGTGCGGGAGCCGCTCTCTCTTACATGTCCTCTTCGCCGCGTGAATCTCCTTTGGAAAGGGTAGCGTCATCTATGACAGCAGCTTCGACCTCTTCAAAGAAATCAGCAACCTCTGCCGGATCTGTAAGGCCATCGCCAGCAACGCCGAGCTGGTTAAGCCAGGAGGAGCCCAGTGTCTGCCTTCAGGTATGTCCCCTTCGCTTCTCAGGCCTCCATTCTTTTTTATTTTATTTTATTCTTTTTTTTAATTAAAAAGCTTTATCGAAATTACAATATAAACCAAACTCAACCCGCCCAACACCCCCCCCTCTCCCTCCCCCACTTCCCAGAGCTGAGTACAGGCTTACAAATATGATAATCCTAATCTAACTAACATTAACCAACTATATAAATAACCAAGTCCATAATGCGCTTTAACTCCCTTTTAACATCAATATATATAAACAAACTGAAAATAAACATAATAATAATAAAACGTAAACAAGTTGATATCCTAATGATTGAACAATACAATCTCCAAATTGTTAAACAGTACTAATACTAAAAATAATAATAATATCATAATAATACTCTAAAATTCACTCATAAGAGCCGAGGTGGCGCAGCAGTTAGGGTGCAGTACTGCAGGCCACTTTAGCTGACTGTGTTCAGCAGGTCAGCGGTTCAAATCTCACCGGCTCAGGTTGACTCAGCCTTCCATCCTTCCGGGGTAGGTAAAATGAGGACCCAGATTGTTGGGGGCAATGTAAATATATATATATATACATTGCTTACTGGTGTACACCGCTTAGAGAGTGCTTGCACTTAAAGCGGTATATAAGTCTCATAAATAAATAAGCTAAATGAAACTTTTTAGTCCCATATTTATTCTGAATATAATTTATCCATCTTCCCCAAACCGAAATATATCTTTCTTGTGAGTGATCCTTCAAGTAAGCAGAAATCTTAGCCATTTCTGCTAAATTGGACACTTTAAGTGTCCATTCTTCTATAGTAGGCAAGCAATGCTTCTTCCAATATTGCCCTACTTAATAACCTTGCAGCTGTTATCAGATTCAACATCAAATTAATTTCTTGAGCATCACAATCTGTAATAGCACCCAATAAAAATAATTGTGGGGTAAACTTTCTCTTGAAAATCTGTTGAATGTTCCACCAGATCTTAATCCAAAAAGCTTTTATATTTCTACAAGTCCACCAGATATGAAAATAAGTGCTCAGGCCTCCATTCTATGGGCCACCATCTCTAGTGGGCACTCCTTAAAAGAAAAGCAGAATGAAAAGGCTCTCTTTTTTAAAACAAACAAACAAAAAAAAAACAGTACGCTTCCAGTCGTCCCAAAGGTGCTTTTTTTTCACCAGGCAACTGGACTTTCTTCTTTTTTCTTTGAAGACGTTTCGCTTCTCATCCAAGAAGCTCCTTCAGCTCTGACTGGATAATGGGAAATGGAAGGATTGATACACCTTGCAGACCGCTGGTCATTTGCATTCTTTGAGAGAGCCGTTGAGGCCACTTGGAGGTTTTATCTTGTGTCCTCAGAGTCATCTGAGTGATGCAAATGGGCGTGGAGCCTTCTTGGAACTGCTGAAAGGACCGTGTTGTAGACAGGAGATAGAGGATGTCGTATCCCTCCCCCTCTGTTCAGAGAGGGCTGCTCAGTTTTGACATCGATCAGGGGTCTTCAGACTTGGCCCTTTTATGACTTGTGGACTTCAACTCCCAGAATTCCTCAGCCAGCGTGCAACGCTGGCTGAGGAATTCTGGGAGTTGAAGTCTACAAGTCATAAAAGGGCCAAGTCTGAAGACCCCTGACAGATCGTCTTTTCAACAGTTCCAAGAAGGCTCCACACTCATTTGCACCACTGAGGACTCCAGTGGCCTCAACGACTCTCTCAAAGAATGCAAATGACCAGCTGTCTGCAAGGAATATAAATCCTTCCATTCCCTGGTGCTGAGGAAGCTTCTTGGATGAGAAGCAAAGAAAAAAACAAAGTCCAGTTGCCTCTTGAAAGAAAAAGCACCTCGGGGACAACCACGACTTGCAGGACTGAGAATCTCCCTCGACATTAAGCTTCCAGTCCTCATGAGGTTCGTGCCTGTGAACGAGTTCTGCACTTTAGGCAGGTCCAAAACCTTAAAAGTGGGGCTGTTTCGATTAAGTTGGTCGACTTAACGGAGATGGCGATGGCTGAGGGATACAGCTGGGGCGGTGGGGAGGGGCAATCCAGCAGAGGTCTTTTCTTGCCTGGAGTTGAGTGGCTGCTGGTGGTGAATTTTTCCCCCGAGAAAAAGAAAGCATCCTGTGGATCGTGCATGTTGTTGTTGTGAGATGCCCAGCGTTATTATTTTTTGGACAGGTGGTCGTACAAATCTTAACAACGAAATAAAATAAATGCACTACGAACATAGAGGCGTGGGCTCTTTTGCGGACTCTGCTTTGGGTCCTCCGGAACGCACGAGGGAGAGAGAGAGAGAAAAAAACAGTTTTTCTTTCCTTTTCCAGGTTACAGTGTCTCCTCTATCCTTCAGATGCTACACTCGGAGTGTAAGAATCTGCCCGAGCCCAACCTGCTTCCCGGACAGCTCTCCCACGGAACGGTGGGGGTGAAGGACGGCAAGATCCAATGGATCTCCATGGCCTTTGAGTCGGTGAGAGGACCCCCCTAACTCCAGTCCTAGGTTTTTGAGCTCGCCAGGCCCAGAACGGAAAAATAGATCCAAGCTCCTAGTCCTCAGGAGCCAGGTTTTCCAAACTCTCAAGGAAGGAAGGAAGGAAGGAAGGAAGGAAGGAAGGAAGGAAGGAAGGAAGGAAGGAAGGAAAAAGAAAGAAAGAAAGAAAGAGGAATAAGAAAGGAAGGAAGAAAAAAAAGAAAGGAATAAGAAAGAAAGGAAGGAAGGAAAAAAGAAAGAAAGAAAGTAATAAGAAAGGAAGGAAGGAAGGAAGGAAGGAAGGAAGAAAAAAGAAAGAAAGGAATAAGAAAAAGAAAAGGAAGGAAGGAAGGAAAAAAGAAAGAAAGGAAAAAGAAAAAGGGAAAAGAAAGAAAGGAATAAGAAAGGAAGGAAGGAAGAAAGAAAGAAAGGAATAAGAAAGGAAGGAAGGAAAAAAGAAAGGAATAAGAAAGGAAGGAAGGAAAAAAGGAAGGAAGGAAAAAAAGGAAGGAAAGAAGGAAGGAAAAAAAAGAAAGAAAGAAAGAAAGAAAGAAAGAAAGAAAGAAAGATCTCAAATGCTTAGTCTCCTGGATGTGCTTCCCAATATGATCACACATCTAATCTGAGTATTTGAGGGGGGCAGAGAAAATATGGAAGAAATGTTTTCAGGCTTGCAAAAATTTGATGTTTTGCCCTTCAAAGTTGTCCAAACAAGAAGGCCAGCAATGAAAACTAGCTAGTATTTCTCCCCTCCTTGCTATTTAGAAAACTAAAAGGCTTCCCACAACTGTTTTCCTTCTGTGGGCTCAGCTGCCTCTTATCCAAGGATTGTCCAGTCTGAAGCTCTCCATCTACTCACCGAAGTCATTCCCACTTAAACTAAGAGGGTGCAAGGAAGGCAGCCCAGGAAAGACCAGACGGCATCCAATTTTGATCACCGTGATATAAAATAATGTTGAGACTCTAAAAAGAGTGCAGAGAAGAGCAACAGAGGTGATCAGGGGCCTGGAGGCTAAAAAACATAGGAAGAACGAGTGCAGGAATTGGGGATGTCTAATCTAGCAAAAAGAAGGACGAAGAGTGACAGGATAGCAGTGTTCCAATATTGGAGGGGCTGCCACAAAGAAGAGGGGGGTCCACCTATTCTCTAAAGCACCCAAAGGCAGGACAAGAAGCAACGGATGGAAACTCACCAAGGAGAGAAGCAACCAGGAGAAACTTCCTGACAGTGAGGACAATGAACCAGTGGAACTGCTTGCCACCAGAAGTTGTGGGTGCTCCATTAGTCTTTTAAGAAGAGACTGGACAGCCACTTGTCTGGAATAGTATAGGGCAGGGATCTTCAAACTTGACCCTCTTAATAACTTGTGGACTTCCAACTCCCAGAATTCCTCAGCCAGCTTCCTGCTTGAGCAGGGGGCTGGACTAGAAGACCTCCAAGGTCCCTTCCCGCTCTCTTATTCTGTCATTCTGCCCTCTCCTTTTCCTCTAATTTCCCACTCCTTCCTTCCTTCCTTCCTTCAGACCACCTACAAGGGGAAATCGTCCTTCCAGACCTATTCCGATTATCGCAAATGGGAAACCTTCCTTCAGGATCAGCTCCGGAAGTTTCCAGAGGGTTCTTCACTACGCCGGGGTTTCCAGACCTGTGAGCACTGGAAGCAGATCTTCATGGAAATCATAGGTGACTGACAGGATCAGGATGAGAAATAAGCATGATTGATTGCTGCTAGCAAATATAGTTACGAGATAAATTCATTTGGCCGTTCAACACGGCCGGCGGTTCCACACCAGCTTGCAACGTTACTCGTAAGAGAGGAAGGGTGACATCTTAAATCTCTGTTACTCTTGATGTCTGGAGGGCTGGACTACATGTCCCACTACTCTTGATCAGTGCTGTGGAGCAGGGGTGGGGAACTAGGGCCCTTTTATGACGGGTGGATTTCCAACTCCTGGAATTCCCCAGCCAGCACGTCCCCATCCGCAAATCCACAAGCATGGGCTGGTTGGGGAATTCTGGGCGTTGAGGTCCACCGGTCATAAAGGGGGCACAGCTCCCCACCTCTACTGTAGAGCAAGGCTCTGCCGACTTGGGGACTTCAACTCCCAGAATTCCCCAGACAGCATGATTCCCCAGCCAAAAGTCCACAAGGGTGACTGGCTGGGGAATTCTGGGAGTTGAAGTCCACCAGTCTTCAAGTCGTCAAGTCTGGAGAGTCCTGCTGTAGACAAATGATAGGTGGGAGCCATTACCCAAGCAAAGGGGGCTGAAAGATTATTTAAATCAGTGGTTCTCAACCTTTTTAATGCCACGACCCCCAACCGGTCGTAAGCCGAGGACTACTCAACCGGTCGTAAATCGAGGACTACTCAACTGGTGCAGCACCGTTTGCAGAATAGGACTTTCGGCGGGCTCGGCAGGGCAGAGACAGCCTGGACAATTCCTATTGGCTTTGGAAAGCCAATAGAATTAGACTCTATTCAAGAGAGTCTCTCCTATTGGCTTTCAAAAGCCAACAGAATAAAAGGGAGTAGCACAGCTAAGGAAAAGGGGGGGAAAATTGGCGGACTGCGTTGTTTGGCGACCCCCGTGAAATGGTCGTTCGACCCCAAATGGGGTCCCGACCCACAGGTGGAGAACCGCTGATTTAAATAATTCCGGGAATCAAGATAGCATAGGTGTCTCCCTGTTTCACCTAAAAAGGAGGGGAAATAAGCACCACGAGGCTTGGAAGAGTCCACCAGGTGTAGTCCTGGCCTTCTGTGGAATGGATTTCCTGGCCTGGCTGAGCAGGGCTTTGCTCTCTCTGCTCTTATTGTTATTGTTATAGTTATTCACCAAAGCAGGACGAGAAACCGCGGTTGGAAACTGACCAAAGAGAGAAGCAACCGGGAATTAAGGAGAAATTTCCTAACAGTGAGGACAATTAACCAGTGGAACAGCTTGCCACCAGAAATCGTGGGTGCTCCATCACTGGAGGTTTTTAAAAAGAGGCTAGACAGTCACTTGTCTGAGACGGTATAGGTTCTCCTGCTCGAACGGGGCTGGACTAGAAGACCTCCAAGGTCCCTTCCAGCTCTATTCTATTCTATCTCCTTTCGGAACTGATTGAGACAGGAACAAATGAACCACGAGGGCCCTATAAGTAGGATCCCTCTGCCCTATTCCTGTCCCCCCCCCAAACAGCTATGCGAAGTAGATAGTGAGAGATGCTCCCACCTGCACTTTGAGCTCTGCACCGCTGAGCCCCAATTTCCACCTGGTGGGATACAGATCTGCCTCTCCCAAATCCTGTGCAATTGTGTATTATTATTATTATTATTATTATTTTTCCTTCCCTTTCGCGGCGCAGAGTGATTCTCGCTCTCTCTTCTCTCCTCTCTGTCTCTGTTCCAGGCGTGCAAAGTGCCCTTTACGGCCTCATCCTTTCCCTGGCGATCTGCATTGCCGCCGTCGCCCTCTTCACCACCCACTTCCTCCTCCTCCTTCCTGTCTTGCTCACCATTTTAGGTACAAGCCCTTTGTCAAAACCTGACCCATCCCAGCCCCCTCTGTCCTGGTGCGAGCAGGAAAGAAGTCTGGCTGAATTTGTAGAAGGCCCCGATTTTGTTTTGTTTTGTTTTGTTTTCAAAAACTCACCTGGATGTCGGAGCAAACAGCCAACCCTTCCCGGGGAAGTCTTCCCCCTTTCGTTGCGTTATTTTGACGCAGGGGTCCCCAATCCCGGGATGTAACCCACTAGTATAGGCTGTGGCCCCACGAGAGGCTGGCCGGTGTGCATGCACACCCAGCACAACTCACCCGTACGCAGCTCTGCTTGCGTTGCGCGCAGCTCCACTTGCACGCGTGCAGCTCAGCTTGCGCACTGCTCATGCACTGCTCATGCTGCCCCAGTTCCCCTCTTCTCCCCCCCCCCAGCCACAAAGGTCGGGGGACCCCTGTTTTAGAGGGACTTTGGGCAAGTAAGATAGCTGCCAAGAGGTGGTGCTGAGCCCGCCTTTTCCCAGTTCCAAAAAATTCCCCAAACCGTCGCTTCTTTCACCGGTAACAAATCCGTGCCAGGCTAGGAGGGATGAAACTTTGGTTTCAGTTTCGAAACAGAGCCCTGAAACCAGGGAGAGAAGCGTGAGCTTTGATGGCTGCCGGTCTCTTTCGCCAGGCGTCGTCTGTCTGGTGGTGACCGTCATGTACTGGTCGGGCTGGGAGATTGGGGCCGTGGAAGCCGTCTCGCTCTCCATCCTGGTGGGCTCCTCGGTGGACTATTGCGTGCATCTAGTGGAGGGCTTCCTTCTGGCTGGGGAGAGCCTGCCCCCTCACCTGGCGGAGGTAAGGCTTTGCCTCGGGGCGTCTTCTTCCTCTTCCTCGCTTCTGCGTCCAGGAGAGAATCACACAAGGCACCAATCCTGGAACAGGGAGACAGAGCTATTAAGGGCGCTCAAACTCACCGCATCACCAAAAAGATGTTGAGAGTTTGGGGGGGAAAAAAATCCAGAGAAGAGCGACTAAGATGATCCAAGGCCTGGAGACCAAAACATACGAAGAACGGCTGCGGGAATTGGGTTTGGCTGGTCTAAAGAAAAGAAGAAACGGGGGTGACAGGATAGCAGTCTTCCAGTATCTCAGCAGTTGCCACAAAGAAGAGGGAGTCAAGCTATTCTCCAAAGCACCAGAGGGAAGGACGAGAAACAACAGTTGGAAACTGATCAAAGAGAGAAGCAACCTGGAATTAAGGAGAAAGTTCCTGACAGTGAGGACAATTAATTTTAAGACGAGACTGGACAGTCACTTGTCTCAAATGGTATAGGTTCTCCTGCTTGAGCAGGGGGCTGGACTAGAAGACCTCCAAAGTCCCTTCCAGAGTATTCTATTCTATTCTATTCTATTCTATTCTATTCTATTCTATTCTTCAGTTCAGTTCAGTTCAGTTCTATTCTACTCTATATACTCTCTTCTCTTCTATTCTATTCTATTCTATTCTATTCTATTTCTTTCCATATTCTATTCTATTCTATTCCATTCCATTCCATATTCTATTCCATTCCATCTCTATTCTATTCTATCCTATCCTATCCTATCCTATCCTATTCTATTCTATTCTATTCTATTCTATTCTATTCTATTCTAATTATTTCTCAAGGCCCAGCCTGGCCCTGAGCAATATTTCGGAGCCATCCAGGAAATGCCACCTTCTCAAACACTGGGTCCAAAATTCAGTTGGCCCCTTGCTTCCAGGGACTGGAGTTGAGAATCCAAGTTGGCCACTGGTTTTTAGGTGGGACCAGGAAGGCCCCCAGTTCAATGCATGCATCGGGGAGAACCCGCCAGGGAGACTTACCCTAATATAGCATGCTCCCGTTCTGTGTGTCAAAGTATACATGGGGGGGGGGGAAACCACATGCATGTACAATCTTTCAGGCACGGCTTAGATGTCTTTGTTCTCCCAGGGCAGGGGTCTTCAAATGTGGCCCTTTGATAACTTGTGGACTTCAACTCCCAGAATTCCTCCGCCAGGCACGCGAGTCATCAAAGGGCCAAGTTGCAAGACCCCTGTCCAAGGGAGGGGAAACATCCCCTGGAATGGGACAGACGGTCTTAAAGGCCTGGGGTAGGGGACGGGAAACAGAGCTGACCCCGTCCCTTGTTGCCCGCAGGACCCCAGCTCCAGCCGCCAGTGGAGGACGGTGGAGTCCGTGCGGCACGTGGGCGTGGCGGTGGTCTCTAGCGCGATCACCACCATCGTGGCCACCGTTCCCCTCTTCTTCTGCATCATCGCCCCCTTTGCCAAGTTCGGGAAGATCGTGGCCCTCAACACCGCGCTCTCCATCCTCTACACGCTGACTGTCGGCACGGCCTTGCTGAGCATCATGGGGCCGCCTTCCTTCACCCGCAGCCGGACTTCCTTCCTCAAGGCCGTGCTGGGGGTGCTGCTGGCCGGGGCGGGGGGCCTCGGCCTTTACCTGGTGCTGCTAAGAAGCGGACTGGAGATCCCCCTCCTCAGCGGGGCCGGCTTATAGTCCACCGAACTCCTCGGGCCCATTTTCCCTCTCCAAAAGAGAGAGAGAGAGAGAGAAAAAAACTCGGGTGAGATACTTGGGTGCATGTTCTCATGGGACGGGATGGGGTTCTGATCCAGCTCCACGGGCGTTGCTGGGAACGCAGCTCCCTGTCCGTGGACCACTCCCCTGTTGGCAGAATGGGACCCCTGGAACCGCTCTCCTCCTTCCGGGTCTCCTGGTGATATCAATGCTGTCAATGGGGGTCTTTCCCCACGCACACGACGGGGAGAAGACAAGGCCGAGCAGAAAGATGGGGCAGTCCAGAGATGGACCTCCAATTCTGGGATCAGCCAGAAATCCTGCCTGTGGTTTTCCAAGAATCCCTTTCAGAGGTCCAGGAGAAAACACCCTTGGATTCCCAATTTTGACTTCCCCCCTTCCTCACCTTGGTTTCCACTAGCACTTTAATTCCTACCTCCCCTTGGCTTGCTTCCAAGGTAGGGTTTTATTTGGGGGGGGAGGGAGAGAAACAATGAGGATCTGGCCAGCAACAAAAATTCCTCTCCCCCTTTGGTGGAAAGAAAATAATCAAAGGCTGCCTTCTTCATTTGCTTCTTCCCTCTCTCCCCGGTTCTGAAAAATCTTTCCCGGCCTTGCATTTTATTTTATTTAGCTTGGGTTACCCCAGCTCTTCGCATTTCCCCCGTCCCCTGTTTGGTATTTGCAAACCCCGTTTTTTTTGTGTGTGATGAGAAACAGGCCAGAGTTAAGCCCTGGGAATTCTGGGAGTTGACGTTCCCAAAGCTTAAGAAGTCCTCCGGGTCAAGGTCCCTCTCGTTCTTGAGAAGGGTGTTTGAATTGACCAGCGGATTGAAATCTCTCCCAAGTCCAGCCTTGAGTTCACCTTTAATTTCCTGCTTTTTTTTTTTTTTCTTCTGTTCCTTCCCGGAATATCATTTTTTGAGCCTCTCCATTTTTTTCCCCCTTTTTGCTTTCCTGGAAAGGCAATAAACTGCCAGTGATTTACCACCAACAGGAATCTTTGGCTGTTCCAAGGCTGCTGCTGGCTGATTTACACTGGCTTCACTCCTCCTTGCTGGATTCCGGGATTCCTGGAGCTGCTCCCTGGGCAGTTGCCAGCTTCTCTCTTAGCCAAAGGAGGATCTTGAAGGGCCCTGCTGGATCTGAGCCAGGCCCTGTCAAACCCCCTGGGTGAGAATAGCCAGACCCAGATTTAGCTGGGGGTGGGGGGAACATTTTTCTCCATGTTGGGGGTCTGGTCTTGACGAGCAGGTGTCAACCCTTGGCCATCGTTTGTCCCGGCAATTAAAGAGCACAATTTCTTCCCTTTTGCTGTCCCTATCCATTTTTTTTGTTTTCTTTTTTTGAGTTGGCTGCTCTCGCCTTCCTCGTTCCTTAGTTAACCGCTCTCAGTTGTTGAATTCGTGTGTGTGTCTTCTTTTTGAGACTGTTGGAAAAGAAAACACAGGTTTTGACATTCGGTTGTGTCTCTGTGCGTGGGTGTCTTCCTGGCCTCGTTTCTTTCTCCAGTTTCGTTCTGCTGAGGTTTCAAAGATTTCTCTTCTTCACGTTTTCTAAAGGTAGACTACTCCTGGCTGCAGAAGCTTTCTTTTGTTGTTTTCTTTACTATCATAATTACAAATGAATTTTTTTCCTTCCTCTTTGGACATTATGCCTAATATCAGCCAAACATACATATATATATATGTATGTATGCATGTATATATGCATGTATATGTATATGTATATATTAGCTCTGAGGAAGAGGGAGCTGAAAAAAATCCATACCATCTTCACAGGTAGTTCTCAACTTTTGAGATATTGGAACGTTGCTATCATATCAGTCTTAGTCTTTCTTTTCATGAAATTAGACATACCCAATTCAGCAACCGTTCTTCATATATTTTAGCCTCCAGCCCCCTAAATGTCCCACCTCTGTTTCTGTTTTACAGACAAATAATAGAGTAATAGAATAGAACAGAACAGAACAGAACAACAGAATAGAATAGAATAGAATAGAATAGAATAGAATATGGAAAGAATAGAATAGAATATGGAAAGAATAGAATAGAATATGGAAAGAATGGAATGGAATGGAATAGAATCTTTATTGAGAATAGAATAGAATAGAATAGAATAGAATAGAATGTGGAATGCAGAATAGAATAGAATATGGAAAGAACAGAACAGAATAGAATAGAATAGAATAGAATAGAATATGGAAAGAATAGAATATAGAAAGAATGGAATGGAATAGAATAGAATATGGAATGCAGAATAGAATAGAATAGAATATGGAAAGAATAGAATATGAATAGAATAGAATAGAATAGAATATGGAAAGAATAGAATAGAATATGGAAAGAATGGAATGGAATGGAATAGAATCTTTATTGAGAATAGAATAGAATAGAATGTGGAATGCAGAATAGAATAGAATATGGAAAGAATAGAATAGAATATGAAAAGAATAGAATAGAATATGGAAAGAATAGAATAGAATATGGAAAGAATAGAATAGAATATGGAAAAAATGGAATGGAATGGAATAGAATCTTTATTGAGAATAGAATAGAATAGAATATGGAAAGAATAGAATGAGAGAATTGGAAGGGACCTTGGAGGTCTTCTAGTCCAACCCCCTGCTCATTTCAGACAAATGTACTCCCTACTTCATTCTTCACAACCTGTATGAGGGCTGGTGGGAACTTTTCGGCTCCTAGCATAACTTACAGACTCTTCAGTAACACAGCTCACACTTTGAAAACCCCAGCTTAAATTGTTAGTAAACAAGCAATCTCCTCGTAGTTGGTACCGCTGTATCGTTGCACTGCGGTAAACTGCAGATGCTAAAGGAAGCAGATGGCCTGAACCCGTTCTTCCTTCTCTTTGGAGGGTGATAAATTCTGCTCCTTTGATCCTCTTCCCCTGCAATTCCTCTCCAGCGGAAGCTTAAAAATAGATTTCCACCGGCTCAGGCTAATTCTTGGCAGCAAAACCATCTTTTCAGCGGGCACTCGGAGTCCCGGATTCTCGTGCGCCCACCATCTCTTTTGAAGCTGCCTCTGTTCTCATTCTGCATGCCATGTGCCCCAGGGTAGATGGGGGCAAACAGGCTGGGTACAACTCTTCCCCCCCTCCCATCCTCCAGTCTGCTAATTGATGCTTTGCTAGGAGTTATGGCTGAGTCAAGTCGGCTGAGCGCAGGCCCAAATCTCTGTAATAAGATTCAACAAGATAAGCTACGATAATCTTTATTGTCGTTTTTTTACTGTGGGCAGGATGGCACATGTCAAAAATGAAATTTAGTTGCTCTCAAATATAAAACACCTACATGACACACACCTAAACATACTATGTACAACATATGTGTAGACCAGGGGTAGGCAACCTTGGCTCTTTTATGACTCGTGGATTTCAACTCCCAGAATTCCTGAGCCAGCCACGCTGAGGGGAAAGGGAGAGGTTTCCAAGCTGAGCCATGCTGGCTCAGGAATTCTGGGAGTTGAAGTCCACAAGTCATGAGGGGGCCATAGTTCCCTCACGCTGCCTTAGGAATTCTGGAAGTTGAAGTCCACGAGTCATAAAAGAGCCAAGGTTGCCTACCCCTGGGTAAGCCCACACCCCTACATATACGTAGCAAATAAATATTAAATACTGTCCATCTTGAGTACATAACGGAAGGAGGAAGCTTGAGAGTTCACAAGGTTAATGCTGTAGGGAATGAAACTATGGCAGAATCTGGATGTTCTGCTACGCATACCACAAAGCCCCTCCTCCCAGAAGGTAGCAAGGAAAACAGGTCGTGGAGAGGATGCGTGGTGTCCCAGATAATCTTGCAGACCCTGCTCAAGCAACGCTTCTGTGCTCTGTCCTGGATGGGAGAGAGGGAACTGTCAATGATCTTTTCTGCTGTCCTCACCACTCTCTGCACCTGCGCCTTCCTGTCTGAAGCAGGGATGCTTCCAAACCAGACTGATGCTTACAAGTCAAAGGTCCCACCCGATGCATTAGACATAAATAGCTCAACTTCATTTGTTCTCTGATGCCCGAGTGTGAAAACACCACTTACTCTCTTCCCTCCCTCGGTGCCAGCGGGGTTGAACATCCCCAATTTTATTGTGTAAAATGGTTTTGAAGTTGAAACTCAAATACTTTGGCCACCTAATGAGAAGGAAGGACTCACTGGAGAAGGGCCTAATGCTGGGAAAGATGGAGGGCAATAGAAGAAGGGGGCAACAGAGAATGAGGTGGCTGGATGGAGTCACTGAAGCAGTAGGCGTGAACCTAAATGGACTCCAGAAGATGGTAGAGGACAGGAAGACCTGGAGGAACGTTGTCCATGGGGTCGCGATGGGTCGGACACGACTTCGCAATTAACAACAACAACAAAAGTGTTTTTTTGCTGGTGCTGCTTATTTGCAGCCAAGGAAGGAGGTATTGTGTGTTTTCACAGCTCTCCCTGGCTTTGGCCAAAGGGGGGGAATGAAGCAAGGAAGTTGGGGATGGTTTTTTACAAGAACCCCCTCCTCGTACCTATGTCCCTTTTGCAACCTCTTAAAGGTGAAACGTGACCTGCCCACTGAAAGAGGACTGTATTATTCTGAAGGCAGATTTGGGGTGGTTTGCCAGCTAAGGAAGATGGGCAACGTAGTGATCAGCTAATGCTTGGCTATGTGGGGGTCTAGGTGGGCTCCTAGTCCTCATGACTTTGGGGCCCCTTGGCATTTTTGTTTCCTGATCTCCCGAAGGCCATAGTTATTAAGGGAAAACTCTTATCTCTTCCTGCCTTGTTTGGGAATTCGTCAAAATTGTTGCTGTTTGGAAAGCCGGAGGGAAACCGAGGGTCATTCCAGCCAGGTTGCCATTGGTGAAACCTTCAGGCTCAGAGGCAGGGTATCTTGAAATATTGTCTGTGGTTGGGCAAGCCACAAGCAATATTTAGAAGTTTCCTGCCCCTATCTAATTCTGGAAAGTCATAGTTTCATCCTGGCATTTGGCTGAACATTGCGGTCCGTGCTCAAGTTCCTTCCTTTCCCAGCTTGTATGTGAGATTAACGTTACATACAAGAAGACCAGCACAAGCCCTCTTCAACCCCTTGCATAGTAACTAACGGATGAACGTGTCCATCCTGTGGCCATTTTTCTTCCCATCGATCTAGTCAAAAGAATCTGGCTTCCCACATTGACTTCGGTCCCGAGTCATTTTTTTTTTCAGTGCCGTTGTTAACTAAAATGCTAAATGAACCATTGTTAAGTCAAGGACTAGCCGTGATCACCTCAACCACCATCCCATGTGAAGTTACTGGATCAAAGTCGTACCTGCTGCTCCTCTCTGCTGGATAAGAGAAGACCTAGCAGGGGAGGATTCACACAACCGCCAGAGGCCTAACCAAGATGGATGACAATCCAATATCAGTCCAAGGTGCAGATGCAGCCAACCAGGCTAGCCCGGGTACTTTTCCAGCCAGATCTCCTTGGGCTCCAATAAAGGAGCTCTGTTGACTTCTTGGCGCTCTCTGAGCTTGGGGGCTTGGCGGGCTCGGACACCACAGACCCCACATTCCCCACCCCACCAACGAGGACCCTTAGCCAGGCACCCCATGGGGAGGGGATCCTCTTGGAAGAGAACTCCAAGCTTTGGTGATAGAGCAGGTGCTGGTGGAGACAGCAATCCATCAATAGCATCTACAGGGGAATAGGGATGGCCCTAAGAGGCAGGAAGAAGAGAAGAGGAATTCACGTGTGTGTGTGTGTGTGTGTGTGTGTGTGTGTGTGTGTGTCTTTCTGTGTCACTTTCTCTGTGTTACTTTTTGTGTGTGTGTGTCACTTTGTCACTTTCTGTCACTGTATGCGTGCGTGCGTGGCTTTCTCGCTTTCTCTGCGTGTCGCTTTCTCTGTGTTGCTTTCTCTGTCGCTTTCTCCGTGTGTGTGTGTCACTTTCTCTTTTTAGTTTTCTCTGTCGCTTTCTCTGTGTGTGTCTCTTTCTCTATGTCGCTTTCTCTCTGTGTGTCGCCTTCTCTGTGTGTTGCTTTCTCTGTTGCTTTCTCTCTCTCCCTCTGTGTGTGTGTGTGTGTCTTTTTTTAACTTTCTGTCACTTTCTCTGTGTGTGTTGCTTTCTCTGTGTTGCTGTGTGTGTGTGTGTGTGTGTGTGTGGCTTTCTCTTTCTCTCTCTGTGTGTGTGTGTGTGTTTTCAATTGCTGCTCCCCCCCAAGGTTTCAAGTCCAGAACGGAACCCAATTTGCCCCCTTTTGCAGGCACTAATTTCGTCCAGCCACTTCCTCTTTCCTTTCTACTTTGAAAACTGAAAAAGACCCAGAAACAGCCACACAGACACCTGAGAGCCTATTTGGACGTTTCTCTCCAGGCCTATGAGGGGAGACACTTCATCCCCATGAAAAACAAAAGATGGTTGGGGCGGAATTCAGTTGGGTCTAGGTAGGACATCTCGCCATGGACAACTCAACAGCCAACTCGCCGTGGGAGAATTCATCACTAATTACACTAATATCAAAGAAATGGTGGAACAGAATCATTAAAGAAAGAATAGCCAAGGAAACGCGAATGACAAACATTAAAATAATTTTTTTTTAAATTATTTCAAACCATTGAATCGTCGCAGAGGACGTTGGCCGCAACCCGTGGTCCCACTGTGCATTCACTTTGGCCCGAGGGCCTGAGTTCTAATCAAGAGCCGGGAGTGACTCCAGCCTCTTTTCCACCTGTCTGGTCCCGATCGGATTGGGTTTCCAAGCCGGCAACTATTAGTGAAGCTTCCCAGCAAATCCCCTCGGAAAAATAAGCCGTCCCCTTTAATAA